AAGGAGACCGAAAAGTCGAAGAAAGTCCGGGTTTACAGAAAAGGTGGATTTTCACTTGTGTTCGTCGCCTAACTGTATCGGAATATCTTGAAGTTATATTTTAGGTGTCGCCACATTTTTGGAGGAATTTTTGGTCTGGCAAAGTGTCGAAAGTTCAAATATGACGTAATTTTCAAACTTTCTTATGGTGGGCGGTGCCAATCAGACAGAAGAATGATGATAAGTTGCATAGGCTTTAACCCGCAAATATCATGTCTTGAAATTGCTCAACAGCTTAAACTAGAGTCAAAGTTTAAGAGAAAACTCTTAAGTAGCGATGCTAATAGAAACATTAGGTATGACACAGATATGATTCTACTCCAAGACCTGTAGTCAAATCTGGTACACTAATCAATGCGGGAGGCAGGTCACGACAGACTCAAAATGCAGCATAGAATAGATTTGTTCCGAAAGAGGAAAACTCCCCGGAATTTTTTATCATAATATTATGAACCTTATAATTTTGATATCGATCGCAAATGGCATTAATTTGTTCAGCTTTATCAGGATGAATACCAACGCGAAAGTCTCGTTACTTCTGACCGTGACCCACTTATTTTTGTTCCCTACCCTAGCCGGAAAAAGTTGGATTAAAGTCTCGTTTAAATTAATTGACGGCGCGGCGTGTGGGAAAGAGTTAAAAATTCGATTTAGATCTGTCTTATCAGTGACAGCAAGCTTCCGTTAGTGTTCTTATCGGCTCGAGCTCAAACTTTTATTTAGACGGAATTTTACACCATATCATCGTCACTTTTTCCTCTTAACTAACCCGCTGTTAGAAATGTTGCTTTTGTAACTCACACCTACTTCGTAAAATCATCACTATTTGACTCTAGGATTTTTGTAATCTCGAATTCAATAACTGTAAAAGTTGGACGAAAAATTGTCCTCGATGTTGTATTCTCTTGAAGGCAACGTTTTAGTTCAAATGCCGAGGGAAAATTTGCTAGATTGATGAAAAAATTAGATACGAACGGTACGATTAGAAAGATACATTTTTCCACATTTTTAGCCATCGAAATATCACGCTTCTAAAATGATCCCCCCTTAAACTCTTAAAAATTATTTTTTTTAAAAGCAAACTTTATTGGAAATAATCTTTCAGTAAAAGATGACCACTTTTTAAAGCTATTTTAACATCATTTCTAATCCTTGCAAGTTTTAAAAAATGAAAGTGGGTGTTTTAAAAGTTTCTCTAACATTCTTTCCTGCTGGAAAAAATACCCAAATAGGGTTTCCTAAACCCCTAATTTACGCAGTTTTTTAAGAGCTATCTTTAAGTTTTTCTCCCACTAGTTTTTCAATAGCCGTTGCTACACTTTTTTAACTGTATTTTAACATCCTTTCAAATCCTTGCAAATTTTAAAGAAGTTGAGTCAGTTCTTTAAGAGTTGCTGTTTTTTCTACTGAAAAAATACCCAAGTGGGGTTTCCTAAACCCTACATTTACACAGTTTTTTTTTCCAGAGCTATCTTTTTAATTTTTTGAGTCTCCCAAAAGTTTTTCAAGAGCCGTTGCTACCAGGGCTGAGTTTCTCCGATTCAGTGGGCGTAGCGCATGTCTCGGTCGCGATCGGAACCTGAGCTGACAACGGCGGAGTATTACATCAAGTTTTCGGCTAGAAAGCCCCTACCTTGTCTCCCTAATGTCCGTGTCCGGTCCTCTTCTCTATTAACGCATGACGCGGCTGCTTTCACTTTCAATTTAACGATAGCCCGCTCGAGCTCGGTATTTCGAAATAAAAGAGGCTTCGGGATGGAGGATTGGAGGCCCATAAAAGAAAAGTGATGCATGCATACAAGTCAGCCCTGAGACTCGTCACTTCATTTTACGGGAGAAGTCTCGGGTGACCCGTCAGACGCTCCAGGCTCTTCTTTTGTAATCATTTTTAGTGACCTAATTACGGTCTTCTCTGTATCATCCTCTAATGATGTTTTCTTCTTCGGCAACCTCTCACGTTCCCAGGGTTGCCACTGTCAGGGAACACCGGGAAATGTCCAGGGGCGGATTAACGGGGTGGCCACATGGGCCGCGGCCCATGGCGGCAAATTTTGCAATTTGTTTAAATGTAGCTATAAAGAAAAATCGGATTCAGAGAAAAAAATTACAAACGAGAAAAGGTGACAAAATCTCTCATTTCCTGAGAGTAAAATCTCTAATTTTGTCGTCTTTCTGTGATACAATAGACAGCACCTTTAATTAGTCGAGTTAAAACTAAGAGAGAAACCGAACACGGAATTTGGCCTGGAACGGCGCGGCGCAGAGAGCAATGATGAGAGAACTTGAAATGAAAAGGAGCTCGGCGCGGCACGGCCGCGGTCGGCATGTAACACATATTAGCGCCTACAAGACCGCCTGAATACTTCATGCATTGCGTCATAGACAGTGCGGTCGCTGCGGTCAGCAGCGGGCGGCGTGAAACGCATAGCGCCTACAAGACTGCATGAATACTTCACGCATTGCGTCAAAGACAGTGCGTGCAGCAGCGGTCTACGTGAAACGCATAGCGCATACAAGACTGTAGGAATACTTCACGCATTGCGCCAAACATAGTGCGGTCAGCGCGGCGCGGCGGCGGAAGTTAAAATTATTAAACCACATTTATGTTTGTTCTGTCATAATATTTTCGTTCATTTCATATAAATGGTACGCCTTGTCCACACAGAGATAGGTTGATGGAACTTAACTTTTCCGCCAAGTTCCGTGAAATTTTGCTTGTAATGTTGATAAGGCTTTGGCAAAAAAAGTGTCCAACACGAGAAAACGCGTCTTATGCACCCATCGCCCTCCGGCACGTTCTTTTGATGGTTTTTATAGACGTTTCAAAACGAATGAGGAGAGGGCGGCAAAATACAGGCGGCCCATGGGCGGCAAGTAAGTAAATCCGGCCCTGGAAATGTCAGGGAATTTTAAAAAGTCAGGGAAATTTAATCACCTTTATTCGCTCTCTAGAATGGGTTTGAGGTTTCGAACAACAAATTTTGTCTAAAAACTAGTTTCGATTATTTCTTCTCAACTATATGTCATGTCTTCAATTGTCTGGGAATTTCACGAAAATGTGTCGGGGAAACCAGTGAAATGTCAGGGAGTTTCATTTCCCCAATTTTGTGGCAACCCTGGTTCCTCGTTTTTCGTGTTTGTGAGAATGAGTTTCAAAGTTGAGCTCCTCTCGCACTTGATCTGAGCGCCGTTCGCTGAACCCTGAATGTCCCTCTAACTCGGCGAAAATTTACTCAACTGCGTGCAAAATTATCAGAAAAATTACCTTATAAAATTGGACAATTCTTAGAAAAAAAAATAGAAAAATTAGAACAGTTCTATGAAAATCTGTGTATAGACGCCTTGACTCAATCGCATATTCATTACGTGAACAGAATATTATTATTATTATTTTTAGTAGTGTAGGGGCCGCCGGCCGCCCGCTAATGACGTCAGGCACTTTTCCCGATTTCTTTACCCTTCCTTCGCCCTACCGCCTTATTCCTCCAAACGGCTCTTTCGTGCAGTCCTAGACCCTCCTTCTCGCCTAAGTACCTGATGTCATGAATAAGTTGATGTTAATGAGCAATCTCAGGCATATTGCAATATTTGTTTATTGTAAATGCCGACAGAAATGGCAGAAAAACGTATGTAAAAATTCAGAAGGAAAAAAAAGAAATAAATAATAAGATTGAAAATGCTAATTGGTATGCCTTGGATTTAAACAGACGTGCTCTTCTTATCCAATTCATTGCACCAAGTAGCACACTCGTCATCGCGTGTTGGAACATCAGTGACCCCAGTTGGGTGTGGTTCGGATAGGCAACTAAACCAACTGCCTGACTGAGCGGCGAGTATCACCCGGTTTTGAAGGCGCTCTGTGCCGAGGCTACTACTACTAACATACCGCTCAGATAGCGCTTCCGTGCGCCCCGTGACACCCAACCGCCACTGATAGCTATCCTGACAGAGCTCCTCCGGCAAGTCACATCTCTTCATTTCCTGCCTTATTCCTTAATCCAGAACCTTCTTCGGCAACCTATCATCTGACATCCTTTGGTCATGCTCATTTGAGACAAGCTATTGAAAATGTCAAGGGTGTTATCCTTTTGGTTGATAATAGAATGGTTATCGAGTAGCTTGTAAACATGGGGATTCTGTATGTAATTACCGCACTGACATCAGCGGACTTAGCGCAATATACCACTCACTATTTAAAATTCGGGTTTAGGTGGCGCCCCAGCGACACCTATTGGCTTTTCCTTGAACTTAATTGTTTCATTGGTTAGTGCGGCCATCTGTGTGTGGATCGCAAACCAGCGTATCGATCATTTTCGGTCGTCGGTGCTGGCATCGATGTGCCTTGTTCAGTGGCGTAGGAAGGGGGGGGGCCAGGGGGGGGC